CCCCAAAACCCCAAAACCCCAAAACCCCAAAACCCCATATGTAGGAATATCTTTGAAACAGCGATATTTTTAATCTATAGAGTACTAATAAAATCTTTTAAATAAAATTAGCAAACCAGAGTAATAATAAACATAAACAATTATTATTAATTTTAATAGATCAAAGGAACGCTGTCAAAAGAATGATTGTGCAAATTTTGGAGTAATTACGAGAAGTGATGCTACTACAAGATGAATAGAAAGAGAATTTGAAAGAGAATTAGTTTAAATGCTTAGAGCAATTAAGTTTAATGATTGTTTAGTATACTATCAAATAAAGGTTAATCATTATTGTTACTCTCAGAATAACTTTTTCCAATCGTAGTAGGGTTTGTTGAATTTTGTTACGAAATCTCCGAGCTTGAGCTTACTGGCCAAATCATATTTCCAGTATGGATCTTCTTACTTAATTTCGTAGTCTTTGTCATAAACAATTTCTTTTGGAAATAGACTGTAAGTATCTGATTCATCTTCAACATAGTCGACTACTGATCTTTCGAATGTTTCCATATTCTCGTAGACGTAAGTAACGAATTAAAGTGGTCTGATGAACTTTTCACCCTTAACATAGAAATGGAAGTCATTTCCACTTTTTTCTGGTCTTTCCCATTTTATTGATTGAGTGTAGGGCTCAAAATATAATGGCATGAAAGTGAATTAGAAAGTAGAGTGGTAGACATTAGCAATGTGCCACATAGTATGAACTTAGCCAAAAGCGTAGGCGTGGAGTCCGTAGGTCTCAACCTTTTAACTGCCTGGTTAAGAAGTTGCATAGTGAGTACCATAACCCACATCTGCTTGAAGTTTATAAGCTAAACCAGCGTAGTTGTTATAGAAAATGTTGTCAAAGCTGGCATCCTTGTTTGGATAGAACCATCCTTGATCATAAGCAGCAGAGGATAAGCCCAAGAAAAGAGCTAAGATTAAAGCCTTGGTCATAGATTTCAATAATTATTATGAGAAATTCGTTTATAAATTTATTGGGATCTGCACTTAAATAGATAAAAATGAATCCCCTCAACCCACGTAATTTGTTGATTATTCCTCATGGGGTTTTGGGGTTTTGGGGTTTTGGGGTTTTGGGG